TTTTTTTTTTTTTTTTAACTTTTTGTCTTTTTTACTGCCCGGTAACGGGATCGCAACCCTCGGTGTCGCGCCCACACCAAGCTCAGCCAGTGAGCGGGAACCGGTCTCCACATGGGATCCGAACCCTCGGCGGGAGCGCCGCCACGCTCACAAGCGGCGCACTCTCCAGTGCGCCACCGGGCCGGCCCGGTTTTTAATTCTTGATCTCTTCATCCTGATGATAAAATCCCATAATGTATAACCTGTAACCACTTTATTGCCAAACTTGTTGTTTAAACAAAACAGTATTCTTCTTTTCAGTGAGATAGAAATTGTTGATACTATAAAGTTAGAAATTTTACATGTGTGAAAACTTTTGGCGGGGCTTCTGGTCAAGATGGCAGAATAGACGGTCCCTAGCATCACACTCTCCAATTTACAACTATAAAAAAGCAACAACAGCCAAGCTGGGGCCGCTAGAGCTCAGGGGAAGAAGAGGGAAGACCTATGGAGTTCATGAAGGCGGGAGAAGCCATGATGAGAGAAAGAAAAAACTGCTTGGAACATTTTGGGCCATGGCCGCTTTAAGGCTGGAGCTGCTAAGTGCACAGACAGAGCAGGAGCCGGCAGAAGCCACAGCTGTACCCTTCAGATGGAGTTGCTTGGAGGTGGGAGGGGAGAAGGGGGCCTTGGCGGCCCCTAGGGCAACAAGATCACTAATAGGGTTCCCGTGGACCCACACAGGAGCGAGGAGCCACAACAACTGAAAAAAAGGNCAGAGATTCGGGAAGCAAGATCTAAAGAGCGTGTTCCTCTTACATGATATTTTATGCCCAGATCACTATTTTGCCTAATTAACAGAGTACAGGGTTTTTACAACTTGGAGTTTTATATTTCTACTTTACTTTGGAGTTTTAGTACAACCATAGAACTACTTTCTATTTCAGAGACGATGGTTCCAATATGTTCCTGAGGACCTTATACAAACTTTTGTTGTTTCTGTTCATAAAGTAACAAGTTTTTACCCTCTACCTCCAAAGTGTAGTTGATATTATTTTTGCTAATTCTGTTTTCTGTTTAGAATAATGTTCGAGCTGCTGCCCTAGCCACTGTGAATGCTTGGGCAGAACAGACTGGCATGAAGGAATGGCTGGAGGGAGAAGATCTTTCTGAAGAACTCAAAAAAGAAAATCCTTTCTTGAGACAAGAGGTTAGTACCATAAATGAATTATGTCTTTTACCTCCATAGGGGCTTGGGTCTGCCTGATACGTACACATTTATGGCTAGAATAAGTTTCATTATAAAACAGTTTATAAAATGAAACCAAATTCCTGGAGCTTTTTGTATTCGTGTGCTGCTTTTTTTTTTTTTTTTTTTGCCTTTCATGTGCTTCTTTAACAAAAAAACTTCTTAAAGGACTAGTCTCTTTGCTGGATTTTCTCTTTTCTTTCTTTCTTTTTTTTTTTTTTTGGTGGCTGGCCAGTATGGGGATCTGAACACTTGACCTTAATGTGTTACAAGGCTGCGCTCCGGCCAGCTGAACTAACTGGCCAGCCCAGATTTTCTCTTTTCCTGAACAAGTGATAANAAAAAAAAAAAGCAGTATTTGACAAAATCCAACACTCATTTATGAAAAAACTCTCAGCAAGTTAGTAATAGAATTACTTCAACTTGATAAAGAGCATCTGCAAAAAACCTCTACAGATAACATTATCTTTAATGATGAAAGACTGAATGCTTTCCCTTTAAGATCAGGAACAAGGCAGGCATGTCAACTCTCACTACTGTTATTCTTCATAGTACTGGAAGTTCTAGTCACTGCAATAAGGCAAGAAAAAGAAATGGAAGTCATACAGATAGGACAAAGAATAAATAAAACTGTCCCTAATTGCAAATAACATGACTGTGTGCATAGAAAATCCAAAGAAATCTATATGTAAACTCCTTGAACTAATCAATGAGTTCAGCAAGATTGCGAGATATAAAATCAACACACAAAATTAGTCACATTTCTTGATACTGCAGTGAACATGCAGAAACCAAAATTAAAAAACATAATACCATTTACAGTTGCTTCAGAGAAAATGAAATCCTTAGTTATATATACACTTAAAACACAAGTAGAATATGTATGCTAAAAATTACAGAAGGCTGATGAAAGAATTCAGAGAAGACCTAAATAAATGAAGAGACATTCTGTGTTTGACTGGA